CTGGGCACTCTGAAAGGGAGGATGTACGAATGATAAACACACGAGAGAAAATTCTTGAGATGGTTCAGAGAAGTCCGCGTCTGTCCACTCGTAGAATGGCCTCTCGCATCGGCGTATCACGTATGAAGGTGTGGCGAACGTTACACGATGAAGAGTTGTATCCTTACCATGATCAAAGGGTACAACATTTGGAACCAGGCGACCATGCACAGCGTATGGATTTGTGCCACTGGATAAAAGCTCATCCCTAACTCTTAAGCGTCATTTTATTCAGTGATGAGGCGTCTTTTACCCTGGACGGTGTAAATAATTTACGAAATGTGCATACGTGGTCCCATAATAATCCACATGAGATAATGGAAAAGAAATTCCAAAAGAGATTTTCCGTGAATGTACGTTTAATACAGTTATGTAGTCTGTTTATACCAGAATGCGTAGTCAGCCATGTTACGTCAGCGCTTGTCAGTCATGTGTCATGTATAGTGCTTGGAAACCTAAGGACAAGTATGACATGGCGAGCGAGTATTTTGTACTTCAATTTTATGGCTTCATGTCACTCACAAGTTAGTTTGATGTTACGTACATTATTAACATTACAGAATCCACATATTCCTGCCATTTTGAATATGTATTTTGTAATCAAGTGTGTAACACTGGTCAAAGTTTCACACTTCTCTGGCCATTATCTCCGTAACCGTTCAACTTTGGACATAGGTGTTTTGGGTTATATCGGCATACTTTAACATAAGGAACACCCCCCGCCCCGAAGTTTGGCACATTCCTCCTGGGACACTCTGTATATATGTTCAAGTGTCTTGTATACAAAAACAAAATACGGGACAATAACAACAAAAACTGCGAAATTTAAAATATTTGTATTCGTAATTTTTGTGATCAGCGAATGTGATTTGGTTAAAAGCGGATTTTTCTTACATGTTATAAGTAAAATATTAATATCTGTTGTTCTGTGTGTCCACTTAGAGTTATGGCACTTGGCACTCTGATTCTCAGATGTCGCAATATAATGTTGCAGTCTGTTTAACGTCCGCAGTTAAATTCTCCATCCACGCTTGCTTCGCGAGTTACGGATATTCCGCGACTTTGCTCCATAAAGGATCCACGAAATGCAGATTCTGAGTAAATACAAGAGAGCATCGAAAGTAAACATCTCCATGGTGCAGAATCCTTTTAGAAAAGCTGACAGCCGCTCAGCTAGCCACGACGTTTTATGAAGCCCGAAGGTTCATCACAATGTTCACAAGAAGTTGAAACTGGTGTTTCTTTGAGATTATTTTAACATTACAACGCTATCTATAGCCGTCATAGCGGCCGCGCGGTCTAAGGCATGAAATATCTTCGCCCGCTTGAACACTGGGATCGTGGGTTTGAATCCCTCTCAAGGCATAGATGTCTATGTTAAGTAGCGGCCTTGCGACGGGCTGATCCCCCGTCCTAGGAGTCCTACCGACTATCCTAGGATTAAGAAATTGAGGTGAAACGAAGCTTTTCACGGATGCCCTACGCTTAAAGTGGGAGCAACAGAAGAAAAAGAACAAGATGAAGAAGCTATCCACGCAATAAGTTTTCCTTCAGGTTTCCTGACTAAAATTTTGTATCCATTTCTCATCTCTCTCATGCATGCTACATGCCCCACCGATCTCATAATCTTTGATTTGATCATTCCAATAACATTTACTTAAGGAGTGTACGAGAATACAGTTTGTTGTTTATTAATTAAGTTCTTTTTTTGAATTGTTTCATTTTGGTCCGTTACACTATCAATCACAAAGTTAATAGAAGGTGCAGTACACAGCACACAGCACACAGCACACAGGAACATATCAAACCATAAGCCATACAACCTCAAGCTGACGTCTCCCATCTTCGGGATGAATTAACAAGGAGGAGTTCAGCATTTTATACCAAATATTTTAACATTTTAGCGTTTTAACTTAAAAATAAGTTCGGATGAAAAGTGAGAACTTGAGAGTGTACTCAACTATCTTAGCATGTTTTGTGCTTTTACACGTCAACATATCGTAGCAACGTCCACATGACAAACAAAATTGTGAACATCAAAAACAGTGACAGTGTTTCCATAATTGTAGCAAGTGCCTCTGATGATGGTTGTGTCAAACCGAAACATGTAAGGCAGAAATAATAATAAAAAAGTAACCTACAATTTGTTACACTCGACGGACCTTCTATTAACTTTGTAATTAAGTTCTTATTTAACGACGCTGTTAGTATCAAGACTATATAGCGTCTATCGTAGGTTGGATAATGAATGTGGAGCAATTGGTGGAATGAGAATTTGTAGGGGAAGCCGCAGTTTATAAAACTCCTAATCTCCAACCTCATATTTCCTGTTCCCTCTCAGATAAAAATATGCTCGTGTCTGCCAACTGAATAACATACGAAACCAATGGGAAAATAGAAAGTTTTAAAAACTTCCGTTACAAGCGACAGTACTCACAATTGTGACCCTCTTCGCCTCGTGCGCCTATCCTCATCCACAATGAGTCCTGGTGCGCCACCTGCAGTTGCTTCCGGGGACAGAGGCGAAGATGAGGTGTCGAACGCTGTAACACAAATGTAAATTGAAGACAGGAGGGAGAAAGAAAAAATAAAACAGACTATTAATTTGTATTTGTTTCCGTAGTTTTACCCAGGGTCAAACAGGCTGGGTGCATAAGAAATGAGAGCTTAAGTTTTCCTGATGTTACAAGGAGGGTGTAAATAGATCAATCGTCTCTTATTAAAAAAAAAACTAAAAAATCCGTGGCTTTAGTCCGCAGGCGAACCATACCGACCGGGCGATCGTCGCTTGTCGATGAATTTAGTGCCAACTTTAGCGGATAGAGAGTGTCGCGTGGTCAGCGCAACGAATCCCTACGGCCGTTAATTTCGGTTTTCTAGACCGGAGCCACTACTTTTCCATTCACGTAACTCCTCAATTATCCTCACGAGGCTGAGTGGACCCCGTTCCAGACCCACTACTTCTCAGAAAATCTGGTAGCGCCGGAAATCGAACCCGGGATCTCTGGCTCTGTAGCCAGGAACTCTGACCACTAGACCACAGAGGCGGTAAGTCTCTTATTTCACGACGGCTTGTTCAGAGTAATAAGCAATGTAAGGGGAAGATTACTTACTGGCTCATTCAGCATCGAGACTATACAGAATCGGATGATAATGTGACGTGTATGCCCACTGATAGGCAACGGTTCGGTACACATTCTCGCAACATACGCGCACGCAACAATAAAGGATATCCATTGCTAGGAAACGGCGCGGTAAACAAGGCTCGTCAATAATCTAGGATGTTTTCTTTGTGGTCCGTGCTGAAGGGTTATGGAAGGACACGGTCAGAAGACGCCACCGAAGGCCCAATGTATGAACAGAATATCTCCTTTGTCAATTACATAAAATATCTAGGTGTAATCTTCGATACGACGATTCATATAGACTGCATATAGAAATGATTGAAGCCAAGGCCTTAAGGACATTTATTAGATACTAATCCTCTTTCAAAAGTGAATGGTTAGGCACTAACATTAAACTTAATCTCCATAAGGCTCTGATCAGATCAGTATTGACTTACATTTGTCCCGCCTGGGAATTAGCGACAGGCACCTGCCTTTTAAATTTGCAGCCCATGCAAAATAAGGTTTTGCCCACCACTGGAAATTTTCCAAGGTGCACACCAGTCCGCGACTTGCACACAGCTTTCAACTTTCCGTATGTATACGATTATACAACAAAATTGTTCAGGCGACAAGAAGAAGTCATACAAAATCATGAGAATGAACATGTTTGCAGCACAGAACAAGGTGAAGCCAAACATAGAAAATATAAGAGGCTTAAACTTGTCGGTGGTCGAACTTACACCCGTTCAAATGACTAAGCTGCCGTTGTAGCATAAGACACGTAAGTTAGGCATGATCTGCTCTGTAAAGCCTGTACTGACAAAAGACTCGTATGTAATGCTAAAAGAAGAATTTTCAATAACATTATATGTGAGAAATATATATTTGACGAAAGGCTAAGCGTATTCATAAGAGTCAAACCCATCTTACCGTCAGAGAGCATGTTACATAAGGATTATTACCGCAAGGGTTCAGTTGGAAAAAGAAGTCTCTGGTCGTGATTCTCGAGGGGCCTGACGCTAAGATAAACCTCCAGTCGTAAAGTAACTTGATTTTGACTTAACAAGAAGGGCCTATGTTCTTCAACCATCCTAACTGCAACATGCTGCCGAAACCTGCAACCTGTAGCCTCAAAACCTCAAGCTGAATTTCGTAAGTTCAATATAACGCCAATAAATATTTGTATAGAAGTTTAATAAGTGGCTGTCTCTTCAAACATCGGCAATCCCACGCATACGATGTATTTTTGTGTTGCCTGAAAAACAGGAGCAGCGTCTGCTTAATATCTATACGAGAATTGCTTCTGCATAAAACACGGACCAGCTAACCTCCTCGCAATTAGGGCGCCCCAAACATGAACGTAATTTTGTGTATGAAATACGAATTTCCTGTGCTTCGATGTCATTTATGTTGTGTTCACGTACCCATCCAAGTAAAGCCAAGCCTTCTCTGAAAACTAAAAATGGCCGTGTTCAAATGCGTCGTCCTGAACTGACTGCAGACACTAAAATTAATTAACTGCATGAAGCAAAGCTCTTCTTGAGAAGCCGCCAGTTGCTCAACTACTTAAAAATTTCCCAACACGTTTTGGAACCCGAAAGCTCATTACCGTTTTCATACAGCCATCCATTGGTCCATATGCCGAATCTGATTAATGCAATCCACACCTACCCATTCTATTTGTCTAAGATCCATTTTAATATTATCCTCACACCTATGTCTGGGTCTTCTTAGTAGTCTCTTTCCTTCTGGCTTTCCAACCAAAATCCTGTTATGTATTCCTCTTCCCTTATGCCTTCTAAATGCCCTGCCCATCTCCTTGGCTTGATCATTATATTCGGCGAAGGGTACAAGTTATTAAACTCAACACGTTATTCTCACTGTAGGTAGCAGTAACAGAAATGGCGTCAGATTCCCTGGTCACGTAAGAAGAAAAGGGTGCACTGCAGTTCCTTTACGGCCTTAGTTGAAAATACTCAAGTTCGCTGTGTTTACTTCTTGCTGGGTGCGTGTTCGACTTGCTCGTCAGTCTTAAGAACTGAGGTAGAACCTTTCTCAGTAAAGTCGGTAGATTACTACCAGATTATACGGCGTCACATCCAAGAAAACTGTTCGCTTTACATTCGTCCAACAAGTTTTAGCACAGATTTATAATGTGGAGTTGTATATAAACATGTTCAATCTTTAAAAAGGTAAAGCCATCCCTGTAACTGGCCGTGAAGGACCATAGGGTTGTGAAACGTTGAGGCTCCCACATTCTCTCTAGGCAATCGACTCACCGACTGTGGTGAGGTTATTAGCCTTACGCGCCAGCCGGCCGCCCTTTACCTCCAGGAAGATTTCTGGTATTCATTTTTGTCAGGGACTGAGTCGACCCCAGGGCCATAGTGCGGCTGGAAGGATTAGGTAAATTGAAAAATCCGGTAAAGTCATTGGGAATCGAACCCGCAACCTTCAGGCTTGTAGCATATTGCCCTAACTCTTACGCGTTAATTCTCCCCGAAAGAACTGTCCCTGACCTGGTGTGAAGCAGAGATACTCACGGTTGTGTTCCACTCTAAGGAGATTATCTAGTCGTGCCGTTATATAATAGAATTTACGAAACGTAATATTCTTGGAGCCGCTGAGATATGCCTACTTAAGTCGGGGTTGAATCTAGGGTACTGGATATATCTTGGCTGGCCTAGAAACGGTTACACGTGCAGTCGTCAGACCTTGTTTTGGAATCCATTCATCCACCTACTTGCAGCTCAATGACGTCATAACACTCCCCGTCTTTGAAAACATGGGTTATATTTCACCAGTATTTGCCTGTATTGTGTAACCGTGAACTGAACTTAGAAATCCGCTCCAAAGAACATTATCATACCTTGGGCCAGCCCAGTGCATAACTGTGTATATATATATATATATATTATAGACTGGATTATGAGTGAAATGCAGTATGATTTTAAATTATTGTCGGGGTTTCCGTGGCCTATAATTTTCAAACAAGAAATAATAAGATAAAACTGCTGATAAGGTATGAAAATGTAACTCAGAAAGTTTCACTGACCATAGAATTAATGCTGCATAATGCTAAATAACTTCAACATGCGCATCTTTCTTGGCACATAAGATGTTCATGCGGTATTCAAGTTCTCTCCCGACAGTAATTTAGAATCATATTGTATGTGGAGTCGCATATACGACTCAAATTTTTCCAACAAATGTTGTTTCGTTTTTCTTTAAATAATATTAAAATATTCTTACTATAAAATATTTTAATTTCTGAAATAATATACCTTAACAGGGAGTTGGTGACTGACGGAAGAGCGTATTAGTCAATTTTACAGAATACCGTATTTACGCATGTATAGGCCGCGTGCGTGTATAGGCCGCAGCACAATTTTCAGAGAGAAATTATAGAAAAAATAATTTTCTTGGAATATTATTTCAGGAGTAGAACACCCTGTATTACTAATTATGAATATAATTTTTTTAAATGAAGTGTGATTTCGAATATAAGCCGCACCCCAGTTTTCCTCTTGAATTTTTGGCAAAAAATGTGCGGCCTATACATGCGTAAATACGGTACATTAGCATATACGTCTTGAAAGAATTTTCAGAGAAATTATTTTCATATTTAAAATATTGTAGAGACTTTTCAATGTAACTAAAACAAGACAAGTCTCAGGTGTAAGTACAGAGTGATTCAGAAAGATGGACACAATTTCAATTGACTATATTTCCTTAACTGTATGTTGCATTTGAATTCTGTAAAGTACATTTGAAAGAGGATGTTACAAAGTCTCTAGTACTACCGCTAGTGCCCTCCATCACCGCGTCCCGGGCCGATCGCGTGTATCGGAGGAGAACGTGGAGTGCATTCGAGTGAACTTTGAGCGCAGCCCAATGAAGCCAACCCGTAGTGCTAGTAGAGAACTTGGACTATCACAAACAACTGTGTGGCGTGTACCACCTCTTCCCACAAATTTGAATGACCTAAGAAACTGTATCACAGCTGCGGTGAACTCAGTGACGCAAGATATTTGTCATCGAGTGTAGGATGAATTCAGCTACCGTCTAGATGTTATTCATGCAGCCTGAGGAGTGGGGGGGGACACTGAACATCTATAAACTTCCATGTATGTATAATTAAGTGTAATTTACAGAATTCAAATGCAACATATAGTAATTCAGGAAATATAGCCAATTGAAATTGTGTCCATCTTTCTGAATCACCCTGTATATATACCGACAGCATTGCCCACAGCAGGTCACTTTAAACCTCGTAAACAGAAGCAGTCATGGTCATGTCGTTATTGCGAACTATACTCAAAAGTTTTGAATTTTTTTTTGTTAATTTTTGCTCGAAAAATATATTTCCTTTAATAATATTTCAAAAGCATCATCATCATCACAATAATACAGCATATAAAACACCATGTAAGGGA